CGGTACAGTCATAGCTCAACCTCCTAGGCTAATGATCCTCTAGCCTCAGACTCCCAAGGAGCTAGGATTATAGGCACCTCCACACCTGCTTATTGTCTTATTTTTTTTTTGTAGAGTTAGGGCATATTGCTATATTACTCAGGCTGGCCTCAATTGATCGTTCTGCCTTGCCACCCAAAGTGCGATTACAGGTGTGAGCCACCACACACAGCCAAGACCTACATTCTGAAATGAACTAGTAAAACATAGTCCTGTTCCAAGTATTAATGGTTCTTTCTGGCTTAATGCTGTCAGTTAAAAAAAGTGTTAGTAAGACAGACTTCACTTCCTTTACGTTACAGTCATAAGACAGCACATCTTACCTTTAATGGAGTCCCTCAAAATTAGTTAAGTAATTAAATACACAAAGCTCATTCTTTAGTGTAGCAGTAAATTAAGCTGTAACTGCTATAAACTAGTATATGAATTATTATATCTAAAAGTTGTAAACCAAAACTGAAACCATGAGAAATATCTTTTATCCATATAAGCAAAAGTATGAGACAAGTAAGCCATCCTCCTTTAGTACACTGAGATTACAAATTCTGGAGCTTAGTTTATTTTTTATGTGCTATAATTTACATGCTATGTTCTACCATACACTTACAGCCTGCAAAAGTAATTAACCATTTATCAAAGATACATGAAAAAAATAAGATTAAAACAAAATGGCCCTCATTACTTACTTTTATAGTAAAAGTAAACCTAAGACAGGAAGGCAAAACAAAAGACTGCCCTTTTTAAGTCCTTTCACTGATGCTCTTCGATTTACAACAGGGTAAACGGAAAACATCATTAAATTGAAAATGCATTTAATATGTCTAACCTACCAGACATCATAGCTTAGCCTAATCTATCTTAACTGTGCTCAGACCACTTACAGTAGCCTACAGTTGGGCAAAATCATTTAACACAAAGCCTATCTCATAATAAAGTGCTGACTATCTCATGTAATTCATTGAAAAATGTGTTGAAAGTGAAAAACCGAACGGCTGTATCAGTAGTGAACAGCAGAAGTCTCTGACTTACTGTTTTCATACCAATGGAAGTCAAAAAATTGTAAGTTAAACCATCGTAAGTCAGGGACCATAGACCTCTGGACACTTTCAGACCTGTTTAGATGACTTGTTTTAAACTAAACATGTATAGACACATTTATTCTTAAAACGTGTTTACAGTTTCACTTTTTTCCAGAGGTATGAACAACATTCAAAAACATCTCTGGACATTTTCTTTGGATCTCCACTCTATATCAAGTTCACACCTGTATTATGAAGAACAAAA